GCTGGCCGTTGCCACAGCAACACCAGCTGTGCGCCCGGGCCAGCAGGGATTGGAGAGGGGTGTGCAGGGGGACAGCGCTGGGCACAGGCTAGGTGTCGTCCTGGTCCCCGCACGCCGCTCTGAGAGGCCATGGAAGTGGCAGCACCTGGAGCAGGTTGGGATATGAAGGGGGCTCTGAGCTGGAGCCTCTTCTCTCCCTGCACAGGCCCTTGACAGTGACAGCAACGATGGCACTGGGGACATGGGGAACACTATGCCGGTCCTGCATGGCACTAGGACACGGGGGACACCACACCAGCCCTGCATTTCACAGGGGACCACATGCCCGCCCTGCGCGGCACTGGGGACATGGTGGACACCATGCCAGCCCTGCACTACAGTGGGGACATGGGGGAAGCCACGCCAGCCCTGCTTGGCATCAGGACACGGGGGACACCATGCTGGCGCTGCTCGGCCAGGAACATCCCTGCACAACCAAGGATGGGGGACACCACACCCGTCCTGCATGGCTCCAGGGACACGGGGATGCCCACATTCGGGGAGCACTGGGCCCCAGGAGGGAGGGACGCAGGGTGCCATTGCGAAGGGGCAGCGTGCCCAGTGACCCGATGCCACACGAGTGCTCCCTGCCAGTGCCCAGGGACTGTCCCCGGCCCCCCTGGGTCAGCCCCGTGCGCCAGGCCTGAAACCTGCGGCTGCATCAGCACCATGAATAATTCAGTCCCGGGTGGAACGCCTCAACAGAGCAGTTATATCGTACAGAGAGCAGATACTCATGGAGCTACACATACGTACACACACAGATGCACACGTACAGACACACGTACACTCAGCCTCACGCCTGGACACACTTGGGCGCACACCCGGAGATGTGCAAAGCCAGCCACAGAGATGCACACAGGGAGATACCCATGGAGCTACATCCAAACACCCCCACACGGAGAAACACCAACACAGCCACATCAAAACACACATATGCCAGGGTACACACCGATACACAAACACAGACACGCACCCAAACACAGACACACATGCACACCCAGCACGCACGTACACGCGTACAGACACATGCAAATGCGTGCAGGCACCGGTAGCTCCGGTGCACACACGCAGGGTCCGTCCACACACGCTCCACGCCCACGCAGATGCCCCCAGCTCTGCCCTGCCTGCCCGGCCGCAGCCCCCTGCCCATGCCCGGGCCAAGCCCCCCGGCTGCACCGGCCCGGCCCGGTTCGGCTCGGCCCCCCGGGGGCTCGGGAGCTGCTCCCGGGCGCAGGGCAAGGGCAGCCCGGCCGGTG